TAAAGAACATTGCTTTAAAGTAACTAGTTTCTTTTTTTTTGTTTAATACCAAAATCCTGCATTATTTTCCGGACAACCCAATATAATCAAAAATAATGCTATAAAATAAATTTCACAGTTTTTTACATTAAAATCTGAAATAAAGTTTTAATATATGAAATACATTTTAAAATAGGCAAGTACACTAATTCGCCAGTGGCCACAGGATAGGCTTTTAAAATTAACAATTAAAGTCTTTTCTAGTTCTTTCACTGGACTGTACCTCTAGTCCCATGCCTTTCTTTCAAATATAATTAAAGACTTTGCAGAATTGAGAGAGTTTGCCAAATTTCTTCCAGCTTCTTGACCAGTGTGGGAGCTGCTTCACATGTGTGGGCGCGAAATTTAGCCAACACGGGTCATTCACAAAGAAAATGATGAACGTCTTCCCTGTTATTCAAATTGGCGGAGAACATCATTCCCCAAGTGGTCCTTACTCGACTAAGGTAAACAATTGAGAAACAGCAACGCCCCTTTCAGCAGAACAACGGCGTGAATTGACACAAGTTCAATCCGGAGTTGCCGCAGCCGAAAACGCTTAATTTCACATCTGAATCTAAAAGAGTTCTGTACAGAAGAAAGTTATGAGACTGCAAGTCTTTTGCTGCTAACAAATGACATTAAAACACCGCTTTATCGATTTCGACTAATATAACGAAATAGTTGTGCGATTAAACCTGAAATAACAATAGAAAAATTTTCAATAGAGCATTAATAAATTTTTAGGTAGTTCCTGTCATATTCTCGCTAGTGACATCAATGCTCATCAAACTATACCTTTTTCTATATTTTGGCATCTTTTAAAATTGTTGAATTAACATAAAGAAAACAATAAATCACTCTATCGTAAATAATCTGCTTAAACAGAAAAATTCTTCTGTCAAATTTCACCATGATAACCAGCATAATACAATAGTTAATAGGCAATTAAATAAAAACAAATTAATTTCTCAGGATTGGTAAAGTGATGAAAAGACGAAACAGTTGTGAGCTTTACCAAGTACCTCGAAGAGGGAAAACCTTTTCCACATGTGCCGAGTCCATCAAGTAAATTGATCCAGTTACCGAGTTAGGGTAAGTGAAGACATAATGGGACAATACCTGGCCCTGAGAGTGACAATTTCTGTAATAGCCGGGTTAAGTATGAAATTCAGGTTCGGCGTAAATCTGCGGTAAAGAGCGTTTTTAAAGAACGGGTTTAAAAAAAACGCGTAGGATCTTGTGATATGAATTATTTTTAATTCATAATTTTAAATAAGACGCTACCAGTTTAATGAAATCAGACGAAGAAATCTTGTTTTAAATTATTTTTGCAAGTATAAAAAACCCTTGGGGTGTTTATTGTAGGGAAGAATTTTAATGAAATTCATATGATAAAATCCGGGTAATGTATTTAAAAATGAGAATATATCGTCCAAGAGTATAATAATTCTTTATAGAAATGTGTGGTATATAGTGACCGTTAGCCAATGATTATTTGGAGATCGTGAGGTGCGGTCTGGTGTGACGTAGGTTTTAGAAAAACATTTGCTTTATCATGCCAACGTTTCGATCTTTATTGAGATTATCTTCAGTCCCTGGTATAAATCCCCACATTGTTTAAATTTAAACAAATGAATTTATACAATGGTAGAAAATTTTAGATTAAAAAAGAATGAATTTGTAAAATTTTAAATTCAAAATAAATTCAAATTTTTTTCTGAATCTAAAATTTTCTAACATTTTATAAATTCATTTTTTTAATCTAAAATTGTCTAGCATTATATACATTCAGTTTTTTTTTAAATTTAAACAATGTTTATAAAAGTAGATGTTTTTGTGTATTTTACTGTAACTTAATCAACATAAGCAAGTAATTTACCACCGCTTTATAATTCTGTGAGCTTTTGGATATCGATTCTAATGAAAAAACTATTTAATAATAAGAATTGTTCCTAGGGGACTGCGGTAGCCGAGTAGTCGGCTCGGGGACACCACGGACACGGGTTTGAGTAATCCAACGAAGCCGCGGGTGATGACGGACCCAATAAGTGACCCTATGCCTGTTCAGCGTAGAATCAACAATAGAGCTACTGCAAACTGCGAAACATGCGACGAGCCAGAAAGCATAAAACCTATAATTTTGACGAGCCCAGAATATGGAGAGGGAAGAAAAAAATGAAGATAAAGAAAGAATGTGATATTGATATGTAGTACTGTGATATAGTTTTAAGTACTGTGGTATATGTGCTATTCTGATTATTAGTTGTGTGCAGAAAAGTTAATTTTATTGAATTATTTTATTATTTACCTATTACGTTATGCTTGTTTCTTTATTTTGTTATTAAATTCGGGTACTATTGCTGTATGATTAAAGCAAAAACAATATATAAACACAAAAAATCACCTGTAATATTATTAATTTGAAAAGTTTAAGTATGGATTTTTTGGGGTATAACAATAAATGTTCTCTCGTTCCGTTATGACAATTTAAATAAAAATAAATTATATTTTATTAAACCTATATCATGAGTTTTACTCAGTGCTTGCACAACTCTATGTTTAAAATTTTCAATTAATAATGTTAAAAATTAATATCGTTTCATTTATTTATTACTTGTTCACTGTTGTTTCTTCCTCTGCATGTGCGGTTTATAGTACTATTAAAAATTTTCATCGCTAAATTAAGTAAGTAGTGTTGTTTTTGTTCAGTCGCACAGTCGAGTCCGATTCTTTGCGACTCCATTGACCAAGTCTCGCCAGGCCCTCCTGTCTTCTGCTGTTATCTGAAGATGACTCAATTTCATGTTCGGTTGCATCTATGACACTGTCTAACCATCTCATCCTTTGCCGTCCTCGTCTTCTTTGACCTTCAATCTTTTCCAGCATCAGGGTTTTCTCCAGTTAGTGCTCTCTTCTCGTTTGGTGGGCAAAGTATTGGAGCTTTAGTTTCATTATCTAGCCTTCCAGAGAACAGTCAGGGTTGATTTCTTTTAGGATTGACTGGTTTGATCTTCTTGCAGTCCAAGGGACTCTCAAGAGTCTTCTCCCGCACGATAGTTCAAAAGAATCTATTCTTCGGCGCTCGGCCTTCCTTATAGTCCAACTTTTGCAGCCATACATGACTACTGGGAATACCATTGCTTTGATCTTGCGGACTTTTGTTGGCAGGGAGATATCTCTACTTTCTATCATGCTGTTTAGCTTCGCCATCGCTTTCCTCCCAAGGAGCAGGCGTCTTTTAATTTCATGGTTGCTGTAACAGTCTGCGGTGATCTGGGATCCCAGGAATGTGAATTCTGTCATAACTTCCACGACTTCCCCTTCTATTTGCCCAGGGGTAATGGGGCCGGTTGACATGATTTTAGTTTTTTCGATGTTGAGCTTCAAGCCCACTTTTGTGTTCTCCTCTTTTACCCTGAGCAAGAGGCTCTTTAGGATCTTTTCACTTTCTGCCAAACTCGCAGTTAGTATCATCTGCGTATCATCTTCTCCAGGAATCTTAATTCCCGCTTGTGATTCATCAAGGCCAGTATTTCGCATGATGTTCTCTGCATATATTAAATAAGCAAGATGACAATGTACATCCTTGTCGTACTTCTTTTCCTATGCTGAACCAATGAGTTGCTCAATATTCGGTTTTAACTGTCGCTTCTTGACCCTTATACTAGTTTCTCAGGAGACATGTAGGGTCTAAGTAGTCTAACATAAATGTATGTTTAGGGGTTATGTTTGTCTGATCTTTGTGTAACGTATAGATGTGTGTTGTGTGTGTGTTTGTTTGTGTGTGTGTGTGTGTGTGTATGTGTGTGTTAACTGTACTTTGCATGTGAGAGTGCGGGCAAGAGTGGGTGAGTTAGTCTATCATGTTGCTATTGTTTGACAAGAAAGTAATGTTATTTTTCAGTTATAGGATTAATTAGCTTAATCCTTACATTTTTGTCTATACTATATTCGTTTACAAATATGTAATGTTAATCCCTAAAGTAAAAGGCTTTTTAGCCTAAAAATCTGTTTTCAATTTCTCTAATTATGTCAAATAATTTTATATGTAATATGTCTTTGGAGAACGCATTTACTTTATGATGGTATTATTGCTGTAATTGTTCATAAAATCTAAAGGTGGTTTCCTTGACTTAGAGAAGGAAATTTTGTTCGTGAAAATGATGCGCGCAGTGGACGTCCTTCTGAGGTTGACGACGACATATTGAGAATGGATAGAAGAAAGTCTTTTTTTGACGACCTGAGAACTAGGAGATATGTTAATGTTTCCCATACAACCATTGAAAACTCACATCCAAAACTTGGGTTTGTTTAAAAGTATGCTTCCAAAACACCAAATGCACGAAAAAGGTTTGCTGTGCATTTTGTAGAACAGGTCCGGTCCATTGCAGTTTCAGCTTTTACCACAAGGGCAAACTGTTAATAGTGAACTGTACCGTGAACAGCTATCCCGTTTAGACCTTCCAATAAAGCAAAAACGGCCTGCGTTAGCAAGCAGAAAAGAAGTGTTTCACAATGACAACGCCCGCCCCCAAGTTGCTTTGAGGGCCAAACAATTATTAACTAATCTGAATTGGGAAATTTTATCACACCCACATTTTTCACATTTAAATTGCTAAATCTTTGAATGTTTAGAAAGTATTCAAAAAGATGTTCAAACGTGCCTGGACACAAAAGATGGGAATTTGAAGCGAAAGAATAGACCTGCTACCTGAAAGATGGCAAAGAGTAATTGCAAACAATGGACAGTTGACAGCCAGATATAAAAACATAAAAATGTATGCGGAAAAAAGTCATTATTTTCTTGACAAATTATATTTTCATTATTCATTTCAACAGACTATATTTGTCGTACAATCCACTTCATTCTGCCGGGAGATTAAGCCCTTCATTCTTCATAAACACGAGGTTGTACTATGAACCACATGCAAGTGCCTTAATCGATTTTTATCTATTTAGTATTAAGCGATACGACTTACCTCTGGCTCTGGGTTTGGTTAGGAGTTTGGAGACGATGTTGTCGTAGGCGATCTCTTCGGCGACCCCGGAATCCTTGACCAGTTTTTCCTTAATCGCTATGCAAATTCCGTACTTGGCCAGAAGCCCCTCCAGCTCCTCGAAAGCCTGCAACAAAAGGGTGATCGTCAATCTTCGAGTCAAAGAAAGCTTCCTCCGGCCAACTCGGGCATTACATATTCTCCCTGTTCTTAATCCCGACCACACCCCCGCCCACGGCCGCACTCGGAACAAGTCGCAAGAAGTGCGAGCCCAACTACTGAGCTTGCTAGATTGGAAGACACAGCTAACAAGTTCGCCAAGTTATTACCAGGACACGTGTCCGTGACAACCCCCGCCCACTTTTCATCTGCAAACTTTATCCACCCCAAGACTTTATTGTGGTCCCTCGAGTACTTCTTCCCTCAAAAGCTTTGAAAAATTAAACAACTTTCGTGTTAAACAATGAACGCAATTTCCTCAGGACTCAGAACATTCCTGTTTACTCTCTGGGAGGTTAAGCACGTTTTTTTCAAGCCTAAATTAATTATTATTATGTTAAGATGCGTTTATGTTAGAAAGATTAGGTATGAGGCAATTGAAAATAAAAGTCTCTCTCACATACAACATTGACACATTTACACAGAAAACACATAATTTGAGCGAGTACAAATACTTGAATTAAACGAAAAAGTTCTATATTGTGCACATCATTGTATAAATTCATATTAATATCGTATATATTTGTATAAATTAAACATTGTTTATAAATGCCAAGCCTGTATCGATTAAATATCTCGAATAAAGGATAAAAAAATATATAAAGGAAATAAATATATAAAGAATTCTTTTCAATTATTAAAAGGTTGAGATAAAAAAGTCAGTGTCACGAGCGGGATTCGAACCCCAACGACATTTGAAAAATCGCAAGAAATATATAAAGAATAGTAAACAACATTAACAATTACAATCTTTTATTTGTTCTTTGTGCCAAATATTTTTTCACTTCCACAAACCAATTAAAATGAAGAACCAGGTTTAACTAACACCGTGAACGTACAACGTTGAGAGAATAACACATTCCTTTCCACCCCTCGTAAACACAAAACTCATGGTTTATTTAAAACAAAATGTACTACAAAGAGGCAATTTTCTGGTCTCAAGTATGTTATACCAATATTGAAAATCTTCTTATAATTCTTTTGAAGTCGTAAGATAAATTATTTAAGTATCAAACCCCGTTGTGGAGATATTAAAAGTCAAGTAATATATTTCATAAATGCATGTTGTCTATTTTATGCCTTCGATATATTTTATATGTAGAAGAAGCAAATAGAAATTTTTTTATAAGATTTAGAATATAATTCAATACATTTTATTTTTTTAATAAATATGCCAACAGTCGTATTTACTATTTTATAAAGATTTTATGTGAACATGAATATTTATATAAACATGTATCAAATACAATCATCAGATTAAATTTGCTGTGAACAGTCCAATGTATCAATGTCAAACATGTTTAAATAAAATTCCATTTGTAAGGTTAGAATAAAAATAGGATTTCACGAGGCTCGCTGTGTATATAAAAACGTCTTTGTGTATATAAATATTCAGTGTGAAAGAAAGAGATTACCATGTCTCAAGAGATGTAACTACAATTCGTTTATACTGAAATGGTATTTCTTTGATATGCAATTCCTAACTGTAAAAGGAAAAAGAAAATTCCCTTTAGATTTTCACCGTATTTACCCTTCTAAGTTATTTTGAACAGTTTCCCGGATAACGATAAAGTGCATACAATTGCGGAACAGGTACAAGTTACCACATAATCACATTATGAATAACAATCAAATTTTATAAAAAATTGTTGAATTGTGTTCATTGAAGGAACTTCTATTAAACACGCTGATGGTAAGCAAGTTTGTAAAAAATGTGAAATGAAATTAAAATGTTTTCTAAATGCACACTGAAAAAAAGTTTACCCTGCTTTTATTTAAATTTTATTTTGAAGAAATCCATCCAGAAAAGAAAATACATAATTAAGTACGTAACTACTGATGTGGTCTTAAAATAAATTATTATTATTAAAAAAAAATTCAGAAATCGCGAGATGCGGTCTGGTGAAATGTAGATTTCAGAAAAACATTTTCTTTGTTGTGCCAACGTTTCGATCTTTATTGAGATCATCTTCAGGGCCTGGGATTTAGAAACATTGTTTAAATTTAACAAATACATATAGGATGTGGAAAAAAATTAATTTATACAATGCAAAATATATTTTTTATATTCAATCAAAGTATTTCTACTCACTCAAAGTGTTTGTTTTCTGTGTAATTGTGCCATTCTTGCATGTCGTGTTGAGAGTGCCAGTGAGATATTGCTGTTTTATATACATAAATGGATTTTGATTTTGGTTGGATTTTGAAGGGGTGAGGAAAGAAGTTGGTACAGAAAAAATATTTTTGTATAAGGTGTCGGCTTCTTTGTGGTGAAAAGAGCCGACGAAGGGAAAAACGTTGGTAATGGTTCGGCCAGATTATCCTTTCAGGATTATATGGACGGGGATAAATAGGATAAGGAAAGCTAAATTGTTTAAAAATTAGACTATGTGAAAATATTTGATGTGTGGAATGTGATGTGATGATATATGTATTGAATTTGATTAATGATATTGGCGTAGCTCCGACTGAGTTTACATGTATCTATTCTGTAATTGATGCTGCGTTTATCTCTGTTGATGTGAACCATTTCTAAAAAGTTACGTTTGTGTTTGTTTTATTCTGTGTGTAATATTTTTGGATTGTTGAAGTCGAAATTGTGTTTGTGTTCAAAATGGTGGGTAGCGAGTGCTGTAGGATTTTGCTTGGGTTTTTTTGCAATCACAGATATGTTGCTTTACTCTCTTGTCCAGATATTGGGATGAAAGACCGATGTAAGTTGCCGGACAATTGATTTTGTAGATTACGGGTGTGGGATCTTTTGGATTTTGGAAAAAAGTGTTTGAATTGTTTTATAATTTTTGAAAGCTATTTTGAATTTATCGGACGAGAGAAATGTGTTTAATTTATGTGATAGGCCGTGAATAAATGGCGTGGAAATGTATGCTGGTTTGTTTGTATTTCAATTTCGTTTTCGATCTAACATCTAACATTGGCACTGGCCTGTTAAATTGAGCAATGTTAACTAGCCGATTCTTCCAAGTATATGTCATCATTTTTCTCGATCTAACAGGTTAACACAAAGAGCGTGAATACCCCTACCATGTCAGTCACGTATACGATCGTCTTAATTATCACTCAAAAAATTAATTTACACCGATTTCCGCGAAAGTCGGTATCTAAGGATTTTAAAACGCTAGAATTACGACAATGAGGTGAAATCCAAATTTTGGCCATTTTCAATATAGAAAGTCATTTCAATATTTAAAATTATTTACCTACTTAGCATATGTATTGTTGTGTGTGTGGTAGGTTCTCGAGCACGGTAGCGAGTTTCAGAGTCCCCTGTTCCGCTTTTTAGAAGAAATTGTTTTTTTTTTTTTATTGTATATAGTATGTCTTATGTGTTGTGTCTACATGTTTTGTCTGAGTGCATGTATTTATTAGCGTGAATGGTGAGGGGTGAGGGTGAAATATTTATAAAAGTACCCCATCGACACCAATCTAGTTTAGTTTAAATTATTTCGGTGGAGGAATATCAAGTACTCCACCAACCAAACGGAATGAGAGTAATGTATGGATGTATTTAAGTGTATGAATGTATTTAAAAAAAAAAGTTATACGTTATATAATATATAAATTATTTGATTGCTGTCAGTACAATTGAACGCCTTTTAAAATTTGACTTAACTTAAATACTTGGTAAAAACAGATTAATATTTTTTTCTGAAATTACAAATTGAATTAAAGTCCCTGAAAAGATGTTTTAGCGGTAATCAATCATTCCGTCCGAAGAAGATTAATCAGTCTTTAATTTAATACGGAATCAATACTCTAGATTCCACACAGCCTACACTTTGTTAGTTTACATTACGATGTTAGGTAAATCTTAATGCGAATGTATGAACGGACTTTCAAGTTATTTACTGTACTGATAGATCCAGGGTAAATTAATTGCATAACCATCCAAACAGATTTTCATGGTTGAAAAACGCAAGCCAACTTTATTCATATTTAATTATTTGTACAGTAATTGAAAAACAACTGCATTTCTTTCAGACAGTTTGTGTCGACATCCAGAAAATTGCTTTTATTAGTTATCTTACATTTGTGTTTAAACATTCTCGAAAAAAAACTTTTGACACCACAAAAAAAATATTTGATCCGTTTTGATTTTGCCGAGTCGGGGATTTTATACATCAACAGAAGGAACTTCAGTACCCGATCCTTTTTTCGTCGGTTTATTTTTCTTTCCCCGGGGGGCTTTCTTGATTTCTGCGGACAAACTTTCCCACGGAAGAACGTTTTTGTTATTTTGCCGGTCCAATTTCTGAGAGAAATACCGTATATAAAGGATGATCTTGCAAAAATTGTGCTTGATCGAACAAACTTCAAATTCATTTTCATAAAAGTACGAACGGAAGTGCTTTCTTTCAATTTTATATAGTGTATTTCATGATTGTTAATTTTTCTTTGCAACATTCCGGCAATTGAAGTTAAACAATGGTGATTCTCATACTAACCAGGTAATTACGTTATAACAAGGGCTGTAAATGGGCCTCGGTGTTCCCAACAATTGCCTAGGTTGGTGGGAATTATACATAGCGTGAAATGTTCTAGTTGGATATGAACTCCTACGTAAACCTCAAGTCCTACCACCACGTCCCTGAACGCCCGGGCAACGTTTTTCTGACAGTTAACGGTGGGAGGGTGAATGCTACTCCAGGCGCACTAACGGGGAAACTCTGGGCTAAGGGAGAAAACCCTAACAGAAAAACACCCCCAAACTAAGGTGTAAGGCAACGTGCAAATAACTGAATGACCGCAGGGGTATGATGCGGTTTTTAACATTCCCTTGGAGGAAACTGGTGCCGCCTCATGGTATATTAGTCACCTCCCCCGCACATATGGGGCTCTGTGAATTTTAGATACCTTGCTTCTCGTGGGAACCAAATGAGTGTGCCAAACGAGAAAACAAAAGTACAACAAAACCAGCTACCTACTAAAAGCCCTCGATGCGAAGGCACGAGAGAACCGTAGAAGTCGAGACCTACGTGGAGGGAGCAACCCTAAAATGGATCCAGATAGTCTGGATAATTTCCAGAACTCTATTTTAATGGCCCTAGATAATGTCACAGAGGCCGGACCCCAAGTGAGGTTCGTCAAATGAACAAGGAGGCCAGGTTTTCTGATCGTCACCTGTGCGGACGTGAGCAGTGCTGAATGGTTGCGAGATGGGTCCCCACATATCAGTAACAGGCAGCTCAACACTCTCGACGGCGTGAGGTAATGTGCAAATGCAGATGGGACAACTATGGTTCCATGGATGATGAGTCCATAGCAAAGTTGAAAAACCTGGATATGTCCCCGCACTTTGGCGTCGGAAGGGCAACGCAAGGCCAATCGGGCTCCATGCTACTGGTTACAACCCGGAATAAGGGTAGTCGTGAATGGGCACATTACCGTAGTCATTAAAGAAAGTGCGCAATACACTCAACATAACAAACAGATAATTAAGGTTTTTAGTTGAGATAAAAAAGTCAATGGCAAGAGCGGGATTCGAACCCACGATCTTCGGCTTGATACACTTACTTGGCCAAGCGGACCACGAAATTAGTGAAAATAACAAACAGATGTTCTTGAAATTGTAAATATAATTATAGATGAGTCATTCTTGTGTCGTGCTCATCCTCACAGAAAACAAACACTTTGAGTGAGTACAAATCCTTTGATTGCATTTAAAATCCTAGCCTTGTATAAATTCATTTTTTTCCCACATGCTACATATATTTGTAAAATTTAAACAATATTTATAAATCCCAGGCCCTGAAACTGATTTCAATAAAGATCGAAACGTTGGCACGATAAAGAAAATGTTTTTCTTCAACATACGTCACATCAGACCGCATCTCACGATCTCCAAATAATCATTGGCTAATTGTCACTACACACCACACATTCAAATTTATTTTTATTTGTTTTTAAAATGTTTTATAATAGGAAATAAAATTGAAAACAATGATTGAATCATGTAGACGAGGGTTATATGCTACATATAATTTCCAGTGAATACATAGTATTAATAACAACATTCAAACATTCAAACATTTGTGATTTAATCGCAAATTCTCCGAACTAAAGCTGATCACGACAATAGAAACGATTTTGTGAATTGACCTCAACACGACTATCGTTGCATGTATTATTAATAAATCAAAATAAATGTTTATATATTACCTTGAATAATTGTTATTTAAAGAGAATTGAGAATTTGTAATATATTGGTATTTAGAAATTTTCAAAATGACCAGCTTTAAAAACCAAATCAATTTCTATTTTTTCCAATTGTGATCATGACAAAAAAAATGTGAATTGACTTCTACACGACTATCGTAACACGTATTATTAATAAGAAAATCAAAATAAGTTGTTTCTATACTACCTTGAATAATTGTTATTTAAAAAGGATTGGGAATTGGTGGTACATTGGTATTTAGAAATGGTTCAAAATAACCAGCTTTAAAAACCAAATCAATTTCTATTTTTTCCAATTGTGATTAATAAACAGCATGTTTCTTTATATTTTTATGATATGCACGTTTGAAAAGTTTACCAAAGTTCTTTCAATCTTTTCTAAGGTTATTTTGTAATTTATTTCCTTTCCTTTCGCGGCGGGCGAAGTCGGTTGAACTGAAGACAAATTAGATTTCCGGCCGACACCTGTTGCCACACCACCTACATTTTTACGCCGCTAACGTTCCTTTAATATTTAATGACAATTTATATTTGGGCAGAAACGATTTACAACACCCTTTGTAGATGTGGCCCTAGTCCCGGTGTGCTCAGGAATAGCAAAACGTCCTATGTTCTAGAATAAATAAATTACAGCTCAAGTGGATTAGCTTTTTTTTTTTAACTTACGTTGTTTGTTACCGTCTTGAAAATTGTTTTGAAAAAATTTCTCACCTTGATGCCGTAGTTGGACTCTTCGTAGATGATTGAAACGTAGCTCCAACCAAGCCTTCTGACGATTTCGACCATTGCCTTCACCTGGTGATGGTCCGAAGGGATCGTCCTTGTAAAATATTCGAATCTTTGCTTGTTGCTAAGCTCAGGACTCGTCGAAAAAAAGGACACCTGTAAAAAAATTCCAAAGTTACAAAATAATTCATGTACTATATGAATAATTAGGTAAATTTAACCAATGGAGTCCCATTTTTGAATAGATTTCTGATTTTTGAAAGATTTATCGTAAAAATAAATTAATTGAGAAACAGGTGATTTCTGTCGATTAACTAGTGTTGCTGTTAATTACTTATTACAACATTTAGTCTGTGTTATTAAATGAGCAATCAATTCCAGAATAGTGATGGCATAGTTGTTAAATGTAAACAATGTAATCTTAGAAGAAATTTAAAAAACCTTAGACTATAGACTTTCTGTTGTATCTATTACCAATGTACTGCCTGCATTAATATATAGCGTCAGGAGTCATGCAATGTTTATGTAGATGTAGATTCTAATCCGCCCATACACTTTAATAAAAATTGTATGAACAGCGGGAGTTTTGTGCTTTTTTAACACACTACCAACGTCAAATTATTCTGATAAAAATAATACATTTTATGGAACGATTGAACATTTTTTCTTGCACGATTTTTGTAAATACAAAGTTTATAATATTATATGAATTTTAACCATGAACAATAACGTTAAGGGCAGTTTGTTACAGTTACTAAATAAGTTAATAGATTTTTTTTAAATGATCGGTTTCACAAATATTTCACACAAAGCCAATATGACACCACAAGAATGCACGACACTTTATGAACTGAAGATGACCCGAACAAAGGCCGAAACGTCGGCACAAAAATGAAAAGGTGTTTGTCCGATCTACTTCATTCTTAACCGCTCCTCACGTCTCCAACAAATTATTAAGGTAATAAGGTTTGTATGATCTCCATTTTTTTGGGTCATTAGATGTGGAATAATGCTTCCCTTTCGATATACTATCCTCGACATATCTCCCCCCACGTTCTCGATTGGGTGCATATCTGCACTTTTAGCTGGCCATTTAAGACAGTTTATTCTCATCCTCTTCCTTCAAGTTTTTGCAACTTGATAATCTTGGGCAGGGGCATTGCTATTGCAGTCTTGCAGAAATCCACTTTTCACCTGCTAGAACATCAGGATTAGGAACAAGATGTTTCATCAACAATAGTTATATCCATCACCATTTGCCCTACTAGAAATAAATGTCAGAGTGTCCACCCCATTATAAAAAATCTAAACCCATACCACAATTGAACTACCGTCAAGTTGTATTTTAGAAAAAAAATCCGTTTTCCATCCTCAAATCGTGCCAGTAATATTTTCATCCATCAGGTTTATCCTGAATAGTTTTTTTTCATCGAAAAAGATCACGCTAATCTATTTATCATCCCAAGTCATGATCGTGTGCAAATTCTAAGCGCTGACTTTTGTGTCTCTCTCATGATTGAGGTTAGGACCGTTTTCGACGTGTAGACTATTCCCAGCGCTTTTAATTGTACTGTTAATTGTTGTTCGACATACTGGAAGTCTCGCCGCTTTAATAATATCCTGACAAGAATATTTTCCAGAAGTTACCAGTTGTAAAACTGTTCGTTGATCCCGCTTTGAAAGTTTCCGCGGCTTCCACCGAGATTTTTTTTACCGTTGTTGTTCTGTTTTAAATGTAAAACATTGTTCACAACAGTTTTAGAACCTCAAATACGAATTGCTATATTGCGGCAACAGTACGACATCATTTTGTCTATAGACAGAACCCCTGCCCATGAAGAGTTTGTGTTTTTTTATCTGTTCGCATAATGATTACAGGCAAACGGATATCATGAAACGCAACAATTTGTCTTTTTTCATAGTTTGTTAAGAGCATCTTTTTAGGCATTATGATTTATAAGAAGGGCAATAAACACAGCATAAACATTTATCAAAACGAAGTATAACGCCTGAGAAGTTTGATATAAACTGATTTTACGTACTGTCTTAAAGCATTTGTTCAGGTGATATCGACTTATTACTGACAGTCTTGTTAATCCTTTTAGAGTAAACAATTTTTATGTTTATCGGTAGAAGATTTCGGTTTTCTCGGTCAGGAACCACTATCAACGTCACACGCACACAACGTCTCAAAGATACAAATCAACACTTCTCAGGGTCACCAAAATCTCCCAGTCACTAAATCGGGTATATATTTATTTGTCAAATATTTTAACTTAGGCGAAATCACTGTGACATGCGTTATACTCTGGAACGTGAAAGGTTTGTTCATATTTCTATAAGCTTGTTCACTGTTTGTTAACTACTCAGAAATCGTGAGATGCGGTCTGGTGTGATGTGGGTTTCAGAAAAACGTTTTCTTTATCGTACCAACGTTTCGATCTTTATTGAGATCATCTTCAGTGCTCAAAATATTTGTCTTCTGTGTAATTGTGCCATTCTTGCGTGTCGTGTTGAATTGTGAGACTCTCACACAGAAGACAAACACTTTGAGCCCTGAAGATGATCTCAATAAAGATCGAAACGTTGCACGATAAAGAAAATGTTTTTCTGAAACCTACATCACACCAGATCGCATCTCACGATTTCTGAATAATTATCGATTAACGGTCCCTAATCACCATACATATGTTATCTACCTTGAATTAATATCTAAAAACCTATTTGTTATTTATTACTAATAGCCTATCTATGAGTATTTATTATTTCTTAAAACTTCACCCCAGAAGCATGTACTGCTAAGTGCGAAAATTATGTAAGAAATTATTAGCACAATTCTGCTTTCAGCTAAAATAATGAAAAGAGAAATAATTGAAATATCTGTCCAAAATAATTTCTTTTGTATCCCAGCTTACATCAATGTGCCCTCTGGATCTCTAATCACTTTAAAATTTAGATGGGGATAGAGCAACTTTTCAACTTCATAAGTGAATTTTATGTTCTCATGATGATTATTAAGACGTCTATTAGGTTTCGTAGACCGATTGACCGATTAAATTCTTTCAATTAATTAATCTTTAAGTAAGATATAGCCTTCCAATATCCAGCGCATCCAGTCCTTCCAATCGAAAGTCCTTAGACAAATTGTCAAAGCACCTTATTATGTCACTAGCCTCACTATCCACAAATACCTCAATATTCCTTTTGCCAACGAACTAATCCAGTCCAGATTCCAAACCTTTCAAACCATCCTAACCACACGGCTCGAGCCCTATCCACTCATTCCCATCCTGACAACCCACCACATCGCCTCAACCGACGATGGCCTCGGGACCTTCTTGATACCTTGTCATACACATTGCGTGCCAGCAATGGTTGGCTCCTCAAAGCATGTGTTCTACCGGTGCAGTGCTGGCATTAGAGCTAGTGTTGTGCTGTGTGATATTTCATTCATGTGTAGATACTTGTATAGTATACAATTCTGTATTGGTAACAAATAAATTTAAAAAAATAAAAAGTAAGATATTGGTTGAGATAAAAAAGTCAGTGTCACGAGCGGGATTCGAACCCACGACCGTCGCCTAAAGCCGCTGCTCTACCACTTGAGCTATCGTGACTTCGGCTTAATCTTGGTCAATCGGAATACGAAACCTAATTGATTTAACAAGCAAAATGAAGTATATCTTCAATAAAGCTCTCCGTGGCCATTTTATTTGTCGCCGAGAATCGAATAGATTACAGGACATTTGAAAAATGGCAAAAAGGAGGGAAAATACAAAAGGTGGGGTTGAGATGGGAAGTTGGTGTCCCAGTGTATCGAAGTCAGTATAGCTAAAGCGGTCGAGCAGCGGCGTACTTAGCCGAAGGCCGTGGGTTCGAATCCCGCTCCTCGCACTGAGTTTTTATATCAATCATTACCTTACTTAACGATTAATTAATTATTAGGAAGGTTGACTAAATTAACCTTTGGAAAAATCAGAAACAAGTCATCGACGAACTTGCGAATGTGCTTAATATTGTAAGTGACCTGATCTACAACCCAATCAATTGACTATCTCCTCATCCTTTGTAATAGTTATTGTGAAAACATACAAGACACATATGAAGTTGAAAATATGTTTGTTCATTGATGATGGTTAAAGTATATCTGTGCAACAATTAAAAAGCCTCAGTAAAATTTTAGTTTCTAGACTGTTTTGGAAAATGATATATTCCACACATGCCGCAATATCGATGGAATACGTTTGTTTATTTTGTGGATTTTAAGGTTTGTAGATTATCCATAATTGTGGATGATCTTTCTTTGTATGGTATTATTTCGTCTGTATACAATCATATATGAGATGCTAAGTTGATTCCCCTCTTTTTTTAAAGTAATATGAAATGTGAATTTTCCGTGAAGTGAACACTAACACTCAAAAGCATGGATAAGATAAGAAGTTGGAATATGTTGTACCAGAGACGTGTTCTGCTGTTCTAGATTCTTCAAAGAGCCTCCATTTACAAGGACAAGCTTGATAACAAAACTTGTACAGTTACAAAGTAACCAACCAGTCAGAATACAATATATAAAATTTACCGAATGTCTGCAGACAAAATAGAAGTCGAGTAGATACAAAGGTTATAGACCCTAGTTTTGTACAAAATCTCTTATAAACAAATTTACCTGTTCTGCTTAAAGTAGACGCTTTACAATCAAAACATTTTAGGATAAAGACGGTTGTTTTTCCATGAAGTAATGTGATGAACATTGCCAGTAATTAATTTCTTATTAAAGATATTGAAACGAGACAGAACAAAGAACAGCACATTCGCTGATATATTGTAGTTACATTTAATTGGCAAATTTTTGGCTTATAAGAGCTAAAAAATGTAATGCCATTACAACTCGTAGCACAGACCATTATAAAATAAATTTCTCAAAAATTAATAGGGATACTTGTAAATTATTCCTATACCATTAACTTTAATTAAATTAACCGATATATTCTTGTTAGCTGGTTAAAACAAAATAGAAAATACAAACAAAAAATAAAAAAAAGTTTTTCTTTATTTTTATTAACGGATTTAGTTAAGAATAGTAAAAATAGTAAACATGAAGATTACTCATTTTGTAAACGAACACCGTTTCTCGTTTTTTCTCCATTTTAATCCAG